ATGAATTCCGTAGACGAGCAGTGAGTGCAGGTCTACCATTGTTTATATTCCAGATCGAAACTGACAAAAAACGAGCTCACAAAGGTGGTAGCCTTAGTAGTCGTGAGTAGGTGGTCATACCCAAATGCTGGTAGCCCCTTGATCACATTGAGACGTATTTCTCTTTTCGGGTAGGGCTGTCTCAGTTGGTCGTAAATGGCCATCCCAATCACCATTTTTCCATAGGTAGTCTGTTTGTGCAAACACTAGTTGCTGCGCGACTGCCAGTGGTGTCGTAATTCGAAACCCGAAGCACAGCGTGACGCGGTTGCCCCATAAACGTATTGGTAAACCCACATCAGATATAAATCTCATTAAAATTCAACTAAAACTGTTCTGAACTGTGTTTTTTATTCGAGAGAATGACTCGAGTAGGGTTGCAATACCAATTTCCCAGCTGCAAAAATCAAAAACAGTTTCAACCATGCTAAAATGTCGTCTCTTGACCCACCTTATTATCGGCCGTCTGCAAATGCTACTCCTAAAGAAAGGGTAAGTCGTTCTTTTAAAAAAGAGTTTACTCTTCTGCTAATTCAAGACCATGAGATAGCTATGCATAAAGCATTGTAGCTACCCATTAATACGTACTGTTGGTACAGTGTACAATATAATCCACGTCCATTGCAAAATAATAAGCGTACTACAGAAGGAGAAGGTACAATTGCTGGAACATGAGCACTACTATACGTCTTCCCTCAACATACAGCTACGTGATTTCATCAAGATGGAATGTACGCAATATATAGTTTGGAAATGCAAACACCTGTCTTGACTTTTACCTAGTACGTGTGCTGTCAATATGGTTGATTACTAAGTGAAAGCTATGTTACTTCGTCAAAAACATAAAGTCACCAATATGAACGACCATTAGAAGAAAGAGATATAAAGAAGACAATAATTTTAGTTACCTGATGTTTCGTAATTTGTCGCGAATCCTTAATCAGAAACATTAGCACAAACAGTGATACTGATACCGATAGTAGCAGAAGTGGGTAATTCACGCACTGGTAGTTGCAAAATTTATAGGATACAGTCAATGTGATACTGCACACTCATGATAACTAAAGGCCGCCCTATCGAGGTAAATTGCCAGCTTGTTCGCTAATCGCTTTATGACCGGCGTGTGGGCCGTGACCTGCTGAATTTCAGCACAGGTGGTGGAATTTGACGTGATGATTGCAATTTTATTTAACAGAGTGTGTGGAACCAATTACGTCCTTGAAGTAGTTAAAACTGTTCTTAATCCCGTAACGCTGTTTAAATAATTCACCAATTTTCATTTTCAGGACCCTATCAATAATCCCAAACTTGTGTTGATTCGCACTAGTCAGTCTGTTTGCACTATGAGTGGAACTCAACCTCGCGCACGGTATCAACTAATCATCATTGTCAAGAGCTCACCGACAAATGATGTACGCCGGGGTCGATTGCGCCATCTGATCAAAATTCAAACGGCTAACCTTAATTCCTCCGTGAGACTTCTTTTCAGTTTAGGTGTGCCGGCTGATATTGTCAACCGGTCCAGATTGCTGGATGCTATCAGCGATGAGGCGACCCGATTTGACGACATCATTCTGACTGACTTTACAGACACCTATTACAATCTGACCCTCAAGACGTTGCTGAACCTCCGATTTGCTTGTGTGGCCTGTCTAGGCGCCAGTCCGCTGTTCGTCTTCATGGATAATGACCATGGCTTAAATCTTTCCTTTCTTCTCGACTATTTCCACACTTTTGACAGAGAAGAGAAACATCGGAGGAGCAGCGGCATTCTGTCTTCGGCTATATATACCAGCAGCCAAAGGTAATACGGGAACCAGGGCACAAATGGGCTGTAACGCGAAGCGAAATGCCTTTCTACATATATCCAGACTAAGCCGCTGGACTATGCTACTTCATCGGCGCTGAGGCCGTGGTATCACTGTCCCTAGCGGCGGCCTTCACCAAGCCGTTATCCATGGACGATGTTTATGTCGGTCTGCTAGCGACGAAGTTGGGGATCAAAATGCACCACTTACCACGCGTGCATTTACATGGACCTTCTCACGATTCAGAGCCATTGGAGGTGCCCCTAGTAGCATCTTTGGAGTATTTCAAGATGCTTTTTTCCTAGTACCTTGTTTGTTCGTTCTCCTTCATTTGTTTATTCTTTTTGATCGAAATTTGCCGCATTTTTAGAGATATGTACATGGGATTTACTTGCAGTCTATTTAATATTTCTCCAGAGGAATTGCCTGATTTCGATGATTCTGTCCTCAATATACCTTGATCTTATGCATCAATATCCAGTCAAATCTAATCGTTGGGTGATAAATAAAATTTCCTGTCGGTAAGAATTATGTGCGTGCGGCTGTAAGTAAAAAAGATGAACAGCCATCCCAGGATACCGGCACTTCATTTCATTCGTCAGTTAAAGACACATTTGGTGATAAATTTCTTCTTATATAGTACGAATATTACCTATCTATTTTTAATTCCCTTCAAAAAACGAAAAATATATTTCATAGGTTAAATGTTTAAATATCGTTCTACATTTATTAATAGAAAGTCGCGTCTTCTGCAAAGTCATGCCTTGTGCAACCGAGTTGATAATAATGGTATGTTGTGACCGTAAAACGATCATTAATAGAATATCTTATCTGTTCATTTTTATCTTTGGAGTGTATGCAAAAAAATTCACATCCATGACAAATTCGAAAAGTTCATATATCACATAGAATACTTAATGATTTTCCTTACATAGAATATATTGCTTTAGTTTTCAAGCCCCTTGCGCAAATGCTACTGCAGACCATATGCGAAAAAAATACCAAAATTAGTATTTTTGTCGAAACTATGGAGAAGCTGTCATCAAATAGTATGAAGATGTTGTCATCAAAATACGCAAAAAAATATCTTTTTATTTATGAGGAAAGCGGAAGTCACTTGGAAACATTCACCCAATAACAGATTTCATGTTTCACCGAGAGCCTTCTTCGCACGTATAAGCCTGCACCTTAGCGTGACGAAACTTCTTCAGGATTATAATATGAGGTAATCGATATCAGAGCCCACTTAATTTAAATTTTCTAATAGAAAATGTGGTTGAAAATCTCTGAATATAGTGCCTGAGACAGAAATGCCTTGTCTTGTTGCCGTATTCATGCAATTGCCCCGATTATTCCTACTTAGACTAAGGCAGTAGGCGTTTTGTTTGCTTAATTGTCCGGTCAGATGCGAGTCCCAAAGTCGTAGAAAATGTGATTTCAAATGTATGCGACTGACCACTAAAAGAGGAACGTTGAGTGTTGACGCGTGCAACTCCTCGGAGTACGAGTAATTTCGTAAAACTGGCTGATAATCTACAGTCCCACTAAGCTCCGGTTTTAATAATAAGGCTGAATGATATATTTGATCCCCAACTAGGGAACCGACGGGAAAACCCACAACTTAACGATGCTTGCCAGCAGTTTTTAGTTAGGTATTTCCAGCTTGGGATATCCTATCCTATCAAAAGTATCTGCTTAGAGAGTTAGACTTGTCTATGTAACATTGCGACAGGCCGGCGAGAAGGTGTCATAAAGTATTTGTGGGAACCTAAGCAGTGTTATATTGGGATCACAACAATCCTCGGGCGACCTTCCAACTTGTTTAAAAAAGACAGAAGGCATCAGAGTGAGGGGTTAACTGGACACAGAATACCAAATTGCTCTGTCAGGCAGCAGTGGCCACTGGCGTATCCAGGGCTAGTTTTGACTGTGTCCAGCCTGTCCTGAGAGTGGATGAAAGAGAGAGGTGGCGGCAGCTTTTGCAGCTCATTGAGGCTTGTAAAGCGAGTTCAAGTAGTGTGCGGTCGGTGTGTGGCGTATAGAGGCTCTTGTTACATCGGCCGAGGGTTAATGTGTTTATGTGCCACTTTAGCTGCTGCGACTATCCGCAGGTGCGCTTTTGTGCGCGGTTAAGTCTGTCAAGGGTCTTTAGGTCAGTGAGTGCCTGTGAAGTACTATGACGTAGAAGCAATGGCTATTGAACAAGGAAGTCAGAGGACATTGTTGGCTGTCCACCACAGATCCAAGGGTCTGCTTGTTGTTGACACTCCTTCCGAAAGTATCTGCTATGTTCCTAAATGGCCCGAAGCTATTGACAGAAAGGCGACAGGTGAAAGCATGGACCTCGTTTTGTCTAACGTTTGGGAATTGGCATGCCGCAATCATATAGTATTAAAACTACTAGATATCACAAACGGGCCCAGATATTTATCCCACAGTGCTATTATGAGAACCACATTAAGAAGGCTGCTCCAATAACACGGACAACGTACCCCAGCAGGAGATAAGGTTCGAGTTCAAACTGACGGGAACTGGGGCAGAAAATGAGCATGATTCGTCTACCTGCGGTTGCAATAAAACTCCTCTCACAGGTCAGCTAGAAGAGCTCCGGTCGCCACTGAAAGTAATCGGTTCTCCGCAGTCCCAGGTTCTATACTGTTGATAAATGTCCCAAAGCTCACCGTTTGGGAATTGACACGCCGCGAACGTATACTATTAAAAGTATCAATTATCCTATACAGCCTGCGAGCTGCAACGGTTTGTTGAGTTTATATATTCAACCATTTTTCCCAGCTTAAGTAGTCGTAAGTTGGCTGACTGTGGGGAAAAGAATGCGCCAAAGACAATGTCTGAAACAAGTATCCCATGAACGACTAAAGTTCAGATGCACCCGACCCACTGCTATCTGATACGTTTGGCTTCAGTTCTACTATCCTTGTCTGCCCTAGACCAAAATACTTTGTTTTATTTGCCGCAGACCGTAGGCTTTCGGCGTTAACCGGACACTATTAATCACAGATTGACTAATCACCGGATGGTTTCTATTTGTGTCACATAATCCACAATAAGTAGGCGCTTCCGCTTGTAGTTTTGACTCAGTGCATTAGCTTCCTGATAACAGAATACAACTCGGCACTGCCCCCACAACGGGCATGGCCAAATGTTCAGAACGAAGGCACTTTAGTAAAAGAGGCGGAAACAACACTAGCATAAACAAACGAACGATATTAAACGGGATAAGAACAGCGAGTGAAATGAATACATGTGTCGATGGATCATATCTTGCAAGTGGCGAGGCATTCATGGTATCCAATTGGAGCATCAGTTTTACTAACGGAGGTAACTTAGAAGAAAACTAAAGCCCGGACCGCCTGCAGATTTCTAGAGATAGAAGCCAGTACGTCTATACAGGCAATAACTTTCAACCATCAGAGAAAATGCCCTCCCAAATAGTTGTTTAAACAATACAGCTTTCAGATGATTACATCAAAATCTTGGAATTGTCAACGGCCTTCCACACATGGAATGAGGTGGACTTCACAGAATCTTGCTGCCTAATTCTGGATGTCTTAAGGACTTCACACGATAGTTCGAACGTTGATTCTGATGTTGTCCACTGTATGTCCGCATAGCAGAATAAATTTAGGGGTGATGTCGTTTGTGTGCATTAGTTTATAGTTGCATCGGCCGCACTTAATCCTTAGCCACTTGACCGACGTCAAGTCAGAGTTAAAATATACGGAGACTGGATCGTGCGCAGCAGTGAACAAAGCTAAACATCTAGTCCATGTGTGTCTCACGACTACTCAGTGGACAAATTACAGAGTTTTTACGCAATGAGACATACAACGGCTCGGTAACCAACTGAATATAACAGAATAGCTATCACCTGAAAAAGGCGACGCTGCGGCCAGACCATTTTTCCTGAGATGAAGGCGGAAGTAGTATGCCATTTGGCAGTCAGCAGTGTTGTACTATTATCGTCTAATTACGCCTAGTGTGCATCCCCAAAGAAGAACACGACGAGAAGGGCGCAAAAGAGAAAGTTGACTATCGTACCTAGTACAGCATATTCAAGGCAAGCAAGACGTTACGAGATCAAACCAATCAGATTGTGTTCTCAAGCGAGTAGTGACTCGACTGGCTCTGTGGCTCACCTGGCTGCGTGTTGGAGTCCTAAGCCTGGCCGCATCACGTGCATTGTGTGAGTGGACCGGTGTTATGACGTTGGAGCGGTTTGCCAGGGCTACGTGCGCGCGCGTAGCTTAGGACCGCTCCAGACACTTCCCGCTTTGAGCCGAGTTAAAATATTTGGGCCGGGGGTTCACCTGCATTGGAACCGTTTGCGTTCTTTTACGGCTAGATCTTCTAGAGCAGGGGTCGGCAACATTTTTAACTCAGAGAGCCAAGTAAGCAAGTATTTGGAAATATATTTCAGTGAGATCCATATGGCATATTTTAAGATGCAATTCAATTAAATGTAGGTATAATAAGCCTCTGAATTTATTCTTTTAAATAATGTTCTTATAATACTCATTGCTAATGTGACTTCTGATGTTGCATGGATTCGCTGATTATTTTATAGTCTGGTTGGTAGTTGGTGACGTTAACCTTCATGCAAGCGTTGAGGCTTTTATCCGTTAGACGTGATCGTAGGACAGACTTTATGTACGTAGATACAAAGAGTATCAATACATCAGTATTCACACGCTGCAGTGTGTGGTATGCGACCGGAAGCGTGTTCCAAGTTTTGATTGTCAATTTGTAGTCGGACTGAATTTTTTTTAATTTCTGTCCACATGTGCTTGCTTCCCATCCCCGCTTCATGTCGTGCGATTCTTTCAAAATCTTCATTGAGTGACTTGATCTTATTCAGCCAAATGTCTGAGGCCTTCAGGTCAGCCAATTCTTCTTCGAAATCTCTAACGGAGACACTAGGAATATAACTAAGACCGGCTGTGTTCAGTGAACACTCGGTTGGATATGTGATGAACTTAAAA